TTTCAGTGATGGAAGTCCCCACCTCATTACACCCTTATTGCTGTTGCTGAGCAGGAGCTGAAGTTAGATAGACTTTTTTTCTTGAAAGTTATTCAAAGTAAAAAAAAAAGAGGTGAACATATATGAAAGAAAGACTGATATAAAAGTTCAGGAATCAGAACATGAGGTTTGATGTACAAGGAGCTGACATCCTCATGGATTTCTTTATATCAACCTATTATAATTGCTGCAATTGAAACATATGGGACTATGGGAGTTACATCTTCAGATCTACATAACCTAATGTCTAATGTGTGTTATCCTCACTGTACTGGAGAACCATGGGAGTTCCAAAATAAATTCTTCAAAGCAACTTTAATTCCCTGAGCACATAATGATCTTTTAGTCCCTGGAGCACAAACCATTTTAGAGACTATTTGTTCAAATAGGCCTATTTGATACTGATTGAAAAAGGATTTGGGTGAAGCCACACTTCTACAGTATGTATGACGATGAATTGCAGCTGTTGCCAGCTGCTCAGGATATTTGGATGGATATCGATGGGATTTCTTCTGATAATCCCTTTGGAAATGTCTCTTATTCTACAAACGTTCCAGTTGTACATTTCTCCACTGAGGTTTCCTGCTTGTTACAGATCCATTACAGATTAAACTCGAAGGTGTCGAAGCAAAATGGCTGCATGCTCCCTCTTTCTGTGTCACTCTCATCACACTTTCATATGCACAAGGACAAAAGAGGGTGATCCCTCCCACCAGGTACTTCACACTCTGCCAGGCTAATGACATAGCACGGGCTCTCTCCATAGCCGGCGTCCGTGCATCAGCTTCCCTGGAGCGAGGCATTTTAAATGGATCTGGGTCACAGTGGGATCCCCTCTGTCCACCCACTGGAACCTGGAAGCATTTGATTTATTTGTGACAGAGTCACCAGTCGGCAAGACACGCTTTGCTGTCAGCGAGAGCTGCTGCATTATGTATTAACACTTAGCAGGTATGTTCTCCTCCACATACTTCACATGGTGTGAGCTCCGTGTCAGAGGGATTCAGGATGTCAACGCTTCAGTGTGTGAAAGATGAAACTGATTTATAGACGAAGAGGAGGAAATCCCCTAATGCCCTCTCATGTCAGCCCCTGTGATGTACAAACCTGTGTCCACTTCTACAACCAAGTTTTTACCATAGACTAAATAAAGATGGATGACATGACACCAAAAGTTGAAGCCAAGTCATCAAGTCATAAACTCCACCTCATCCATGTTAGCAGATGGGACATGGACCAAACTAAAATGTCAAAGTGCCAAAATCCATTAAATATTTTTTCTCAAAGATGGTTTATGTCATTTAAGTAGCTCTTATCACATTGATGTCCTTCCAAGTGTTCATGTTTCTGACAAGTTGCCACGGCTCTGTCGCTCATCAATGTCACTCAGACTTCGTGCAAGATGGCAGTGTTCGTATCCAGAATATTTTGGTTTCATTTCACAACAGTGGAAAGAAGTGGAGACACATCCATGTGTATTTACATTCAGTGATTGACTGATCATGATGCTTTGGTCAATGGTTTCAATATTTACTTGCACACTAAGTCGGATTTATGAGAAACAGACACTAAAAGTAAAATGTCAGATAAAAAATATACTGCAGTTTACTGCAACGACTCAGTAATTAACATTTTAATCAGAACTTTAATGTAAACCTTTTGTATATTTATTTTGTTTCATTTATTCTTTCATTTGAGCTTAAGTATTTTTTGCTGTTAGTTATTAGAACAATGTTTTGAAAGTTTGTAATGTTATGTGAAGACACCATGTGTCCAAATGTTGGTGAAAACCCTTGAACACCTTTGTTATGACACTGTATTCTAGTTTTCTGTCTTCCATCCCTCGTAATAACAGCCTCCATCCTTTGTTCCATCATCGTGCCAAGTAAAGAAGTGGTTTTCCCACTTCCTTGATCCCAACCCCATCCAATAACCTTTGTGATTAACTGTGTCACAAACTGTGACTTTTGCTCTTATTTGGACCTCATGACTGTTTGTAAAGCTCGACAACATCTGGTGGTGTAAACCATGCCTCCCCCATGTTAGCAGATGGGACATGGCACAAAGTTAAAAAATCAAGATAATAGTAGTAGTTCTTTTAACACTGATTTAATATTGAAGTGTTCATTTTTCTCATCAGTTTGGTAAGGATTAGTTATTTGATGATATAAAAACATTTGGAAGAGGCATGATTGACAGCTGAGCCTGTCTCATTATTGGTCAGATGTGTGTGTATTGGCAGGAGCTCAAAACAACAGCTCCACCCCACAATCACAACTGCAAAGACTCCAAAGGCTCCAAATGATGTCACCAGGACAAAATGGCAGCATCCATGATATTTCATCATTGTGCAGTGGGGGGAGGTGGAGATGCTTCATCCATCTTTATGTTTAGTCATTGGTTGAACATCACTAATGCTCTTGTGGCTGATTAGGAACAAATCCTTGCAACCAATTTCCAACATCTTGAAATACTAAGATCACGGGAATGGAGGCTGTTATAGCAGCAGAATAATCAAAGTGAACGGTATAATGCAAAAGCGCATGTTCAGGTGTCCTCATACATTTATGTGTTGAGCATATAATGTTACATGTTCTGCACTTAGCAGATTTTTGAGCAGGTGAAATAGCAAAAACAAAAGACGAGTGCCAGAAATCAAAAGAACACCATCTATCAATGGTTGTTGCAAAGATGGCGTTATATTGCAACAGCACTTCTCTTCCTGCTCTTGTTGTTTTGGTAGTAATAGTAAAATATGTCAAACAAAAGATCTGCGATTTCAGCTTTGCATGTTGATCCAGTCTCTGTTCATTGGTGTAGTGTTCCTTCCTTGATGTGTATGAGAAGACAGAGCAGTGAATGTGCGTCAGATTGCTTTCTGACCAAACACTCCTCGAGGCCGTGTTGTGCGCGTCCTTAAGTTGTTGTCAGATTGCTGCAGTTTGCTCAACGAGGGAACGTCACATTTTCAGGCTTCTCGCTGCAGCATTTCGTTTCCACTCGAGTAAACACTCCAGCCTCAGAAATAAGTGTATTTGTGTTGTGAATGTTTTCCTCTGACGGCTTTGTGCTGTGTGATTGCTCACTGTCCCGGGGCTGAATCGTGCCTGGCTGCATCATTGTGTGCCGGGACCAGACTTTTCTTTGAAATGCACACTCCTCGTAAACAAATTACATATTATTACTTTTTTTTTTTCCTTCCTGACATGCCGCACAAGAGCAATAAGATTGAAATGTATCATAAAATTGCATCGCAAACATGTAAGGCCAGAATGGGCAGCAAAAGAAAAACTGTCCTTGCTTGGCGATGAACTTTTGAACCATCTGCTATATTTTAATGTATGAAATGCATTAAAATTCACTGATAGTGAAAGGTTATTTATTAAGTGCCAAACCACTTTTATTTCAACTTCATAGCAGAGTAATGTAGCAAAAGGCAGAGATGTCAGATCCATCCACTGAGGAAGCAACATCATTGAAATACAATCACTGATCTTTATCAAAAGCAGAGCACAACCCCCCTTGTTGTCAGTCCAAAGCTAAATAGCTCATACACATTGTTTGAAGCTATGAGAGCTTGGTTTTTATTGTCTTTAGCGCTCTAACAGGATGATAGATGAACATATTTAAATGCAAATAAGGTGCAACCATCATATATCCAAGCTTTCTGGGCTCTGCTGTTCAGAAAAAGCAGATCTAATTGTATAAATGCAATATTTTCCCTCTCTGAAATTATTTGAACTCCTGTTGCTGCTCAGTGATGGAATCTGGTTTGTTCTTTGACCGTTCAAACAACACACAACGATGTTAGTGCAACATCAAATGAGTCACTTACAGCGAAGATGGATCACCATGAGGTGGAGCCATGTTCCGTGATCTTTTCTTCATAAAGAGGCTGTAATCAATCATTTTGGCAAAGCAGAGTTTCACTAGATTCCGTCAGATTGAAGAAGCACTCACGGAGCCTGAACTGAGCAGTGACAGTTTACTGTTCACTGGAGACACACAGAACAAATCAAAGCTTCATATCTGGCGATGCAGCCAACACTGACTGCTGTTGATGGAAACGCCACCTGATCAATGATAGAGACATTTTGCTGCAGAGCTTATTGTGCTGACCTCACAGAATTTTGTAAGGCAAGGCAAGGCAAAGAGTATTTATATAACACAACTGGGAGTCATACAAGATTCCATATATTTGCATAGGGCCCACCCAGCGGCTAGTTTGACACACCCGCTAGCAAACCCAGGTTAGCCGATGTTTCCTATGTGCTAGAAGCAGTTGACCATTCATAACACAGTGGGCCAGCTGACCAATCAGAGCAAACTGGGCTTCATCTGGAAGGGGGCCTTTAGAGACAGGAGCTAAAAAGGAGACAGGAGTTTCAGACACAGGCTGAAAAGAGGAGCTGCAGCAATGGACAATATGAGGAAAGCGATGTGTTTCCTGAACATTAGAGCAAGTAAATATTTTTAAGTAATAACACAAATTAAAATGATCAAACTGAATATGAACAGAATATGTCTTCTCTAAAGTCTGACTCGCATGCAGCCATTTCTGCAGCCGTGGTCTGAGTCATTTGTGTTGGGTATTCAGTTGCAACTTTCAGGCAAACTCCTGCACTTGATGCTCAATCTGGGAATTGCCGCTTGACTATGAGCTTCCAGTTTTTGCAGGAAAAGTAATCGGATGAAACCTTCTGCACCTGAAAAGTAGATTGCGTTATGCTATGCTATCTTAAACTCAAAACTGATTGTTTTGGGGTTTGTGGAGAAATATCTCAAATACAATTTAAACTGACCACTTGATAACAAAAAGGTCAAAAGGGAAAATCTATCTTTTTAAAAAGGTTTGATTGAAGTGACCCTTTAAGGAGAGGAACTTAACATATGATGTTCTTCCTGTGTGTTGACACACTGTGTTGAAATCTAGTGGTAACTCTCTGTTCTTCTCACAATAGGAAACCACCACCACGACTATCAGCACAGCCACCTGGATCTGACAGCGCTCACACCTAAACTAGGTAAGAATCACCATCAGGTTGCATTGTCCTAAACTTAGGATGTGACATTACATGTGCAGCAAAACTTCACAATGCATTTTTCAAGCTTGGAAGCAAAGTAGCCAGACAAATCTTTCCATCTCTTCAAGTTCTGTGCCCGTTTAGGAAAGACCTGATGGTGGCGATCGACCTGACTTGACTTTTTAAAATGATATGCATTGTTATCTGTCTCTAAATGAAAGAAAGCCAAACAGATCTTGCAGCAGACTATTTCCATTTTCAAGGACAAAGGTATATCTCTCTCAGGGAAATTAAAATCTGAGAGAACGATAAAGGAGTCTGGAGAGAAAATGAAAAGCAAAAAGTGCAAGGTAATCAAAGGATCATCTGAGCAGTTTGCTGAAGTTATTGAAAACCAAATTACTGCTACGGCGTCCAATGTATTTCTCTGAATGTGATTTTCCGTGAAAGGGGAGCAGCGTTCACTGTGGAATAACTGAATGGTGCTGCAACTACACGGCAATGAGATGAAACAGAGTGTAATTAAAGAGGGAATCGGGCATTATTTGTTAAAAAAAATCCCCTCTGTGCTCTTTAAAATCTGCAGCAGCAGATGTTTGGTGTCAGTGTCTCTCAGGTTAAAGCTGAGAGACCCTCACTGAGTCATTGTACGAAGTTTCCCACCATTAATGGAACGCTGCGTCTTTGCTCTGTGAAAATGGGTTTCACAAAGTGCTTTCAGTGGCAAATAAAACTCTTCAGGCTTTTGCTTTTGAAGTCTATTTAGCCTCTGACGAGGATCGTAGCTGGGATGTATAATTGAAGAGTTGCTGGTTTGGACTTTGCATCAACCCTTGACAGCATTCTGTTTGCAACATTGGCTTTGAATAAGGCCGACCTCCACTATGAGAGGCTTGTTTGAAACATACTGTGCAAATTGATTGTGATTGATCCTTTTTTTCTCACTTGGATTCGTTAGCCCACAGACAAATGAGATACGGTAAGTGATACACATGCACATGGTGTTTATGTGTATTTTCTTCCTCATCTTTTCTACCGCACATATCATGTAGAGATCCAAATTCTTTACCTGCACACTGGAGGTCATTTTTTATTCTCCTTTCTCCTTGTGTATTTTTTGCAGTCTAAAAACTTCACGCCTCTGCATTATAATCCATGACCTTTACTCTGATCTCAAAATCTTTTCTTTGCACATTCATTTTTTTTTTACCTCCTTCGCTCTTCTTACCGGCTTTATCTTCTCCTCAACCCCCCCTCCACCCCACACTTCTTCAGACATTAGACGTTTCCCCTCTGCACCTTATGTTCCTTGGTGTTGTGTGTCCCTGCCCTCCTTGCTGCGGTAGTCGCCCAGACCTATTTTTAAACCCAGAGTCCCTGCCCGTATCCCAGCCCTCCCCACCCGCTGTGCCTCACGACCCATGACTGGGCGTCCCAAATACTGAAGCCATGGGAGCACCACGCAGTGCAGGGAGCCTCAATGGTGCCACACATATTAGTGACATCTCAAAATAAACCCATAAAGACCTTCCCTGTAGTGTAGCTACAGTTTCAATCAGACAAAATGATTTGAGGAATTCATCAGTTCAGCAAAGTACAGCACGTAGTCGTTTGGATTTTTAGATTTAGTCATCAGTCCATGTTTAACCTTTGTGAACACACACATGGATGTGCACGAAGAAATGTCCAGAATGTAGCGACAGGTCGCAGAGAGGCCAGTGTGTATACAACAACTGTTGGGAACAAACAAGATGGCGGTTGTTTCAACATGTGACAAACAATATTTTGGCTTCAAGAAGCAATACAGTTGCAAATAAAGACAAACGATGAAGGTTGGTGCAAGTTATGCAAAGTGTGAAAAAAATGGTCATAGTAAAATGATTTTCTTGTCTGGAAGAATTAATGATCATAAAAACTAAAATATCCATATTATTGGATACAAACTAATGGGGGTGGGGGCAATAGTTATTTTTCATATTTGTTCTAAACAGACCTCTAGGAGTAAATGCAGACAATTTAAAATAGCTCCCTACAGGTTGTCATAGTTTTTATATCCAAGCACACTAATATTTATTTTGGTCCAAACAAAACCCCTGTAACATTGTTACAGAGGTTTTGTTACAGAAATGCAGCCAGGCCTTCTCAGTCAGATTCATAAAAACTGACCTCCAGTTCCTCATCAGCTGGTGTGAAAGTTCAGGTCACCTTCAAGCTGCCACTCTGCCCCGCCTTTCTGCCTGACTGTCTACTGACTGCACTGCACCGCTTCCTCCTCTGTCGTCTGTAGAAAGACCCCAGCGGATGAACAACATCCTGACCTCAGCCACAGAGCCCTACGACGTGTCTCTCTCCAGATCCTTCCAGAACCTCAGCCATCTGCCGCCCTCCTACGAGCTAGCCCTCAAGCCTGACTTAAGTAAATACTCCTCCTCTCTGCACAGATTAAGTAGGTGGTCCGTCAGTTCATCCTCCATCGCCGTGTTTTGCCCGATGCAGTTGAAAAAAGAAAAAGACGGGGAATGACTTCAAACTCATGCCCGGCACATTAAAGGGTCGTTGCATTCACCGTGTCTGGCCTGATGAAATGTCTGAATGTCCATTACAGAGACATGCAACATGTTAAGTATCTCCAGATGTTTCGCACCTGATCATGCATATAGTTTTCTCTTTTCACCTTTTTATGGCTTCTTAAAATGCCTGACAACTTGCTGGCGCCTCCATACTCATTCCCATAAACTCACTTATTGGCCCATCGACTGACATCTAATTGGGATGTAATTTGGCTCCATCTGCGGCCCATGTCATGTTGTTAATGTCTCTTAATGACATATTAAGAGACATTTTTTTTTCTCAGCTGACTTGCTCCTATACGCTGTGAGGATGGAGCTTTAATGTCTCAGCGATGCTACAGTTCATTATCATTACCGTGACATTTTCAGCTCGATGATGTTGATGCTGCCAATTTCAACCTCATGACGAGCACATGCCTGCCGTTCAAGTTTTTATTTAAGCGTGAAGCCTTTAGACGCCAGCGTGGAGCAGTGAGGGATAAAAACAAAATATATCATGAAAAAGATTCCTGACGCAGCTCAGAACAGACTCTTTGGACAGACGATTTTAGTGGCACTATGTGATTTTAGCATTTGAGCATTCTAAGGATAAATTAATGGACATTTTAGCTTATTTTGAAATGTGACGAAACTCATGGAAGAAAAAGATGATTAATACATAAACAACAGTATTTTTTTTTTCATTGGAGTATTGTGGAGTTAGGAGACAATGGTGCATTCTTTCCTAACAAGTTTTAATCTTTATATTTCTTTTCATGCGCTCACGTAAACAGACACTGAATATGTGCTGCTACATGTCCCTGACTGAATCAAGCACTAAAGTGTGAACATGCTGTATGTTTGCTTGTGTATTATGTTGTTATCGCATTTAACAGATTTCTTTATGGTAAAACATTATTTTCAAAAACTCTTTCCTTTAGCCTCCAGAAGCTTTTCTGAGTTTCAAATGTCAGTGGAAACATTACAGAGGCCTTGACTGAGACCTTTTGTGTCATGTTTTTTTTATTTCTACAAAGCACAATGCAGCATTCGCAGGAAGAACTTCGATGTGTGGCAGATTTGTCAAAGTGCGATGCAATTGTACTGAGCACATGTGAATGCACAGTTCCCTGTGAATGCACACAGTGTCCTTGAATCTGAACAGGAGTTGCACATGGGAGGAAGCTATTTAAATCTGCTATCAGTCCCTTTCTAATGGTCCAATTGTGCAATCCATGCAATCTCCTCTCAGTGCATTCAACACTCCTTTATACGTTTGCCTTTTCTCTCTCTGATCAACTCGAGGCTATGCTCTTATAGCTGGAGCCTTGTACACACATTTCAAATCTCAAAGATGAATCTCATTGAGGTACAGAGAGTCTTTTCACATTAGAAACAGAGGACCAGAAGAATTTGTCAAATGAGCAGGCAAAATTGTCCCTTGAAAAAAAGACTTGAGGTCTTCGGAAATGAGCCTTAAAGTAATTTAATAGCTTGTTTTAATTAAATTAAATTAAACCATCTTCAGAGAAGATGGTGACTTTAATAAATTAGTATAGTTTATTTGCAAATTTTAAATGATAAAGGAATTGTGTGTGTGTGTGTGTGTGTGTGACTCCTCTTCCATTCCACCCATCCCTTTGTGATGATAGAAAGCAAAGATCAAGGACACTGCTCTAAAATATCCCGCTCAGCTCCCGCTCAGCTCCCGCCTCACCTTTCAGAACACCTGCCATGTCTTAATCTTCACAAAAAGAAAAGAAAATAGAATTATTGCTGCTTTCCTCCATTCATGTTCCAAACATCTCTAAAGATCACTTTATAATTGATGTTCCACCAGTTCTACAAGTGTTAATGCATTATACAATTACATTCTTCTGCGATCAATGGCTGACACATAAATATACTGGCTATATTGAATCTAATCTTGCAGAGTGGGAGCTGGGGCTTAATTAGCCGCTGTTCGCAATTTCCTGTGTATGCAGCACCGATCCTCGCTCGGGACCTTTTAGCCTCTCACAATCATGTTAATTTTAAAGTGCTGCGTTTTATCAGCGTCCCACAGATGAGATCAAGCAATATGCATCAGCCCTTGTAAATCATTTCGTTCAATTCAGCGTATACAGCGTAACACTTGTGTGTATATACATAAAACGCATAAATCAAGGGGCAACAGTGGATTTGTAGCTGACACATTTTGAGGCAACTTCCTCTGATTTTAAAATGTATTTTATTTTGGACAAGATAATGATATTAACCTTTCATCTTGTGCTGAACTGAAACTTTTTTTGGATTTGCTGTTCATACTGATTGCTGCTAATGTGACCTCAATAGAAACTAGTGCAGTGCCTGCTCTAAATTTAATTTAAGTTTGGAATGGGCTGTTTTTTTGGCCTGTGGTGATGCTGGTTGCAGCTTTCCTCCTGAAACTGTGAACGTGACAGGCAGTAATTGAACTGCAGTAAAGACCACAGTAAAGACCAGCTGCGGGACCCTGCAGGAGTCTGAGGAACCCTGAAGCTGCACAACTGCTGCATAAAGAGCTGTTCATCTGTTTATTCAAAGTTTGGCGATGCTCCACTCACAACCCCGAACTGGAGAATCACTTGTCGTGGCCATTGTTGTGAACAAGCTGTGGTCATGATCAACAACATAAATTGCATTGATACACAGCAGTTGCGGCTACAAAGCGCAGGTCGCTAATTTATTGAACATAAATTGCATCAAATTTCACAATGCACTTCCTTGGATCCTCTAGAATATACATGCAAAGTGTGAAGTCAATAAGATGAACAGTTTTCAACAAACAAAGATTTCTGTAATTATTAGATTTAATCCCAGTTGCAGTTTATTTATTTTCAAATGCTGTAAAATTGCCATAAATGATTAATACGCTTTTAATTTGAAGCCAAAATGCAATAAACAATTCTTCAAGCACCAAAAAAAGGAAGGTTTGAGTCAAAAAGACATAAGGAACAGACGCATCCACACAAGAAAGCAATCTCCCCTTTTTTTTTAATGCTGTGCCTAACCTGGGGTAAATGTCAACACTATTCACTCTCCATGTTAGCTACAACCCTGACGATTTTGTGAGGTTAAGGCTTGGATCCTCTTATTTTAAAAATTGGACTGGATGAACATTTGAGTGAATAATCACTGCAGATCTGTCACAGTGACTGGATCCTTGAGTTTAACCTATTAATGGAGCTATGGCCCATGGCGTGTCAATTGTCTGCATATTTGTAGCCTCTGGTTGAGTTTGGTTGACATTTTCTGCCATAATGTCACATCTAAACCAATTCTATGGGGGAAACTGGAGCACACAGCCCCAGGCCGGAGTCAGGCCACCTTCATTAGGAATGCACAGAGCAGTGGACGTGAAACCCCTAATGTAGAGACAATAAGGTGACCTTCTGTATCCAGGCATAACATCTCTCCCTGAGCATACAGACAAATGATTCCCATTGTCTCTGCGATTTGGTGAAGTATGATGCGGACATAAAACGGCTACCCGACCTCTGTGTTCCTAAATAATTAACGACTGCAGAGGTAATGACCCCTCAGCCGCAGCAGTCAATCACAGATCCTCAGTGGTTGCATCCCCTTGAGTACCAAAGTTGCCAAAAATAAATAAATAAATGAATGGTAGCCAGAACTCTGCAGAGAGGTGATTTCTGCCTGTGGTAAGTGTAGCTGTAATGACTTTACATTAGGACAGACACAACACAGAGGAATTAAACAACATGAACTGTTGAGGACACCATCACCTATATAAATAATAATATTTTGGCACCTATTAATTTCACAAGAGAATATACAGCACAGGTAGAGGTTTTCTGAAGCTCTTTTGAGCCGAACCCTCTGTCCACAGGGACAATCCCTGTGATGGGTTGGTGTCACCAATCGACCAGGTAGTGAACCATCTATATAATGAGAGTTTCCACTGAGGGAATTCACAAAGCTCTAGTTAAAACAAGGAGAAACCATCAGCTGTGTCCAATGAAGGGCTTTGGCCCAGCTGGGCTTCAATCCTGAGGTTGGCCAATGGCCTCTGTTCACTTTTGGGACAATTTCTACAAATTAGGGAATATTTTGGGGCCTTATGTCCTCTATGGTGGAAGAAATGGCACAAAACATAAAAAACAATCTTATAGTCCAAAGGCACAAAAGTGATTTTCAAGTTTCTTGGGTGGCTGTGGCTGAGGGGTAGAGCGGTCATCCTCCAACCAGAAGGTCAGAAGTTCAGTCCCCAGTCTTCCCATCTGCATACCAAAGTGTCCCTGGGCAAGATGCTGAACCCTGAATTGCCCCATAGAACAAAAGAATTGCTGCTCATAGCTGCTCACTGTATGAATGTATGTGTGAATGGCAAACTATAGTTTAAAGTACTTTGAGTGGTCATCCAGACTAGAAAAGCACAATATAAATACAACCATTTACCATTTATCATGTTTCACAAAGGATTGGTGCTTGAATATTGCAGATACTTTGGCAATATTGAAGTCCTACATGCCTCTTACATGCTTTGTTTAATGAAATGTTTCAAAATTAATGAGAAAAGAAATGATATCATGCTGCAAATTGCAACTTGCATGTAGCAAATTTGTTGACATGGAACACCAGTGTTGTTGATTGTTATTGAGCGGTATAGAATGTTTACTAGGAAACATAGGAATCATGAATGAGACAAGCATGCACTTTCAGATAGATTTTACAATTGATCATTGTATTGCTCGGAAACAAAAGATGACCTCATTTTTTTAGAATATGAATTACAGTTTTAATGTAGATAATAATGTTTTCACTAGTCTAAATTGTCTGAATTGTAGTTTTCTTTACCACAGAAAAGGCCCTTTATATTTAAATACATTATTTTAACATAGAAGCTGCCATGTTTTTTACATTAGTCCAGACTGGACAAACTAAACACCTTTTGAGTTTTTATTACAACTGAAGCTACCACAGGTTCTTTTTCATGTTTGGAAGGAGAGGGTGAGGTGAGGGGTGTTCAGCTGCAACATGCAACTTCAACACTAGATATCACTAAATTCTACACACTGTACCTTTAAAGCAAGCCAGTTTTCTTGATGCCCTCTCTCATCACATCCTTTTCCTCACTCCTTAGTTGATCAGGATGTTGATGAGTACTACACAAGGAAGCATCATCATCCTGACTTCGGCGGCCGGGGTCCGACCCACATGGTAAAGCTGAATGCCGATCCTGTGCAGCACCAGCAGCACCAGCAGCACCAGCAACACCAGCAGCGGCAGCGGCCCCGCAGAGTCCAGAGGGCTATGTCCCAAGACCACGTCCTGTCTCCTCCCAGGACACCGCGACGTGGAGACTATGGCTTGTCTTCATATGGCGTCATGGCAGCAGCTGCATATGGAAGCAGCAGACACCTCTCAGAGGAGCAGCTACTGTCAGCCGACCGCCTCCATTCCCAGGATCCCTTGCTGTCCCCGGCAATGAGGCGTGACAAGTTCCGGGAGAAGGCAATGGCACGTGCAATGTCTCACGCCGACATGCTGCTGCCAACCACACCTGTCATGGACCGCCATAAGATGGCGAAGATGCACTCTCAACCGAGTGCCTCTAATGACTCCTACAACACGCTGACAGTCAACCACCAAGCGACCACGTCTAAGAGGCAGGCGTTTGCCTCCCGACGAACACACACAGTGGACCACCTACAGTACATTCCCGGCCACCACCACACATACCGCACTGCCAGTAAGAACGAGGTAACTGTTTAACCACTGAGCAGAAGGATTCCTGTGACACACAACGGACAGTTATCTTGTTATAACAACCTCCTGCATTAAACACGTCCTGCTTTTTAGCACAAGCTTCCTGTCATCCATATTTTGGGTAACTAGAATCAACCCTAGCAAAGACTTTTCTCTCTTAGAGCATCATAAGGGCTTTGAGTGTTGACACAGAAGGATCCTTCATGTCAGACAAGTGACAGTGTGAAGAAAATATTTTTTAAACTGGACCTCGGACTGGAAGGGAATTGTATCAACTTTATAAATATATCAATATATTTACTCTTTGTATTTTCAGTCCTTGTTATAGCTTTAGAGATTCTTATTGACTCATGTAAGCACTTCAAATAGTGCCTCTAAAATTATCCCATTTCAATGATGAAGTGGATTTGTGGGTTAAAAAGCACAATTTATGAATTCACTTTTGTTTGTTTAGTTTTACTCTTCTTTGATTTAAAAATGGCCAGAACATATCAGCTCATTAGTGAAAACAGATGTTATTTCTGTTGCATACAATAGATGATTGTAAATAGGCTATATTAGCAGCATTAAAAGAAAAAAGCTGGTCCTTTGGCGTTATTAT